GTCTAGAGGCAACATCTGTTACTGCTGAACATGGAGACAATTTTTAGACAGACAAAGAGAGAGTAGGTTCCATTACTGTAACCAGATCTTTACCACTATACATGGCATATGTATAGTGCGTATTACAGAAAATCTAAGCGTTCGGTGAAGTAAAGATAACTGTTTCACTCTGACATTAAGCGGTGTAAAAGATAATCGCTCAAAATCGCTGACCGATGGTTGAAATCTTGAACATACTTATCTTGAGCATATCTTGAGCATTATAATAAAATAAAGTATGTCAATATACAATAATGCATCTCAAATTTTGCACAATTTTTCTACTTCCCTTAACTTTTGCAAGTATTCCCACCATATCGCTGCACATCCAATCCGCAGCGAATTCTGTCGTACCATTGAATCGTCAGCCAATCGAAGCAAAGTAATTTCCATTCCTACTCTCGCTAACGGAGCGCGCTGCGGTCGGAAAGTCTTGCAAAACTCGAGGTATTACTGTACACACATAGTTTATGTTCACTCTGACGTCACGTAGATGATTTCATCTTTGCTCGATGGAAATGATCTGAAGTTTTGTCTATAGATACGTATGGTGTAAGATTCAGATGGATGCAAACCAATCAGATTACTGTTCACATAAATATCACGTGTATTGAGGACGCTCAATGAATCTGCCGAAATCAATTCAATATGGACTGGGCCTTATACAATGCCAAAATACAATTCGCGGTTTGTAAAGTGTTGAAAAATCACCGGATACCTCGGCCGAAGCACGAGATACCTAGCGACATGGAGGAGGTCGTACTCGACAGAACCGACGGAACAAGTGTCTGTGTACAAGATGGCGGCGCCCGGGGCCTTAACTGTCGTGAAAATCGCCAGGAAGTAACCCGTAAACGGAAGCCGCGCGGTGTCGCAGCGAGCCGCGGATCCCCGCTCCGAAGGATGTGATCCGAGGAAGAAGAAGAAGAAGGCCGAGTCCGGGCCAGAGGAGCCTTTTTCTACACTGCCACGAGGAAATTCGGATAATCCAAGTTCCTCGGGCCAGTATCGTGATCTTCTCCGTGGCCACGCTGACGATGGAGTCCAGGGAACGCTATCAGGAGCTCTGCAGACTTTGCGCATCCTACGACGCCGTCAAGATGGACATCTTCGGTCAAGAGGGCAAGAATAGACAGCTTGTTGACAAGATACAAGCCTGTCTACCGTTTAAGGTTCGTCATCGTCCTTCTACGCTAATCTACACGACATACACATCACGCGTCTTCGCTGTCGAGAGCTCCCTTTCACTTCGTGTCAGCTTGTTCTTTCGATAATGATCCTCCCGTTTTGATAAAACATTCATTTGCATTCGAATTATTTCTGACACTAACGTTCGCTCGAAGATATTGTTGTTTCGTCTTGTCCGTGAATATCAGCGTTTGCTTAAATCTTTTTAAACGTTGAAGGTATTATATACATACTTCGAAAATTATGATTAATTCCGTAAGCCCTTTCGGACCGATTCTTCTGATTTGAGTCTAAATATATTTTTTTTGGCATCTTTCGAGACTTATCTTAGTTTTATTATAACTTTCGCTAAGAAATGGGTTTTAAACAGCAATTCACATTTGTTGATTAAATTTTATAAACGTACAAATAACTGATTTATATTTTTATCGTCCTTCACATTTTTCATGTTTTTAACATGGACGTGATTATGTTGGAAATATTTTTTTTGTCACAAAGCCAAAGTATTTTCTAGCACTGTTGGTAAACACATCTTTTTAGCCTTACTTGTCCTCATTATTCCAAAATCTTTATGAATATACTTCTATTTAGTTGACTTTGTTACAATTAAGAGTTGTATGTTATCTTGTTTACTATGTTTTGTAAATATTGATGTTTTCCTCATTTTGTTTTTTTTATTAATCATTAAACCTCTCATGTGAAAAAATTCTAATATATAATTTTGTATAATTTTTACATAAAATACATTATTGCCAAATACATAGTAATTTTATAATAGTTTCTAGTTGTATAAAAGCAATACATATTAATTATATCTTTGCTCATTGTTATCATTGATATTTAAATATTTTATTACAGATTGCAGAAGATGATCGATTACCAAAATGCCTCTGTTACCGATGCATGTACAATTTGGAAAATTTCTATGATTTTAGAACAGCATGTGTCAATGCAGTGGCTCTCTTGGAAAGATGCTTACCACCGTCAGAAAAAGTAAAATTTATAATACTATATCAAACAGTCATTATTTAATAAAAAAAAGATGTATAATCTTAGCGAATAAGTAAAAAGTCTAATCATAAAAAGTGTCATCCATAAATTTTATTATGAACTTTTATTCAGGTTGAAGGTATTATGACCACCTTAAGATGCTGCGATAACTCAGAGCTCTTGAAGCGAAAAGAAAACATACCTATATTGATCCCAGAGGCCCCTATTGTGAATCCCAATGCTGCCTTAGGAACACCTCCTAGATTAAATTCTGATGAGGAAGCAGATCACGAGTCCGAAGAAGTTATCGATAATAGTGGCACAGATGAAGGTATTTTTTTATCCTCAAAAAATATTTATCTATTTTCGTTTCACGATACAAAAATTAAATTGGTAAATGAAGAAAACTATTGTTTTACTTCAGCAACAATAATGGATGACTCAGAGGATCACCGATCAGAAGAATATGAAATGGATATGGAAACAAATCCAAGTGATTTTCTGGAGATGACTTCAATAGTTACCGAAGAACCTGATGACTTGGAGATGAAACATCAAGAACATTCTAGTAATAACCCAGAGGTATGTTACCAAATTTGGAAAGAGCTTCGTACTGTAATAATTACTGTGTTATAAATAATTACTTTCATTACTACAGCATACATCTCAGCAACACGAAGTTTATGTCTGTTCCTTGTGCAACAAAGCATTCAGTTCAAAGGGTCACTTATCTTTGCACGCGCGTATTCATGTCGGGGCCGGTGATGTAATTGGCGAAAAAGTTCTTACGGACGATCACACTTCCTACAAGAGACCCTACCAATGTGATCTTTGTCATAAATCTTATTCGACTGCGAAACATCGTTGGGGTCATGTTTCAACGTCTCACAGGTCTGTTGATCCTTCTTATTTTTCTCATATTTTTATATTTATTTGTTTCTGTACACTTAATACTACACACAACTTAATGAACATAACGATATAAGTTGTCACAGTATGAAGCTAAAAGAGCGATAAAAATAACTATAAACGTTTACACATTATATTCTGACACCATGTAAATTTAAACAGTTTTAAAATGTCGATGATGATTTTAATTAATAATCTTTGTAATAGAGGTCATCCGGCAGTGACATGCGGTTATTGTTCCCGGATCTACTCGACTCGGACAAATTTGGAAGAACATATAAAATCACGCCATGCTGGTCTTCTAGCACCCTTGGAGGTTCCTTTGAACAATACTTATCGACTAGAAAATAGATGCCAATGCAATGTTTGCGGAAAGATTTGCACTGATGCCATGGAACTGAATCTCCATGGCAGAGTTTGCATAGAAGCGCAAAGATCCGATTTTCTGACCAAGAGTGAGAATAGAGATACCAAAATAGTTGACAGTTGTGAGGGATCAAGCTTCGGTAGTGACGACGATAGCAAAGATTACAGGTAGTGTTTTTGATATTGTTATTGAGAATAGTTCAAAATTCCATAATCGATTAATTTATTAATATTATTAGGTTGTTTTGTTATCTTATGTCGGTTTCATTTTCTTTCTTCAGAAGTGCAGAAGCAAAGCTGGCTAAGAATCCACAATTGACGATCTTGAAGCAAGCTTTAATGAAGGGTGACAGTCTTAAACGAGACTTTGAAGATAAATTCACGGCAAATTGTAAACCAAAAAAGTTGCCAAGAACAGGTAATTTCAGTAATTTGAGAATATGAAAATATGTTTACAAATTAGTAAAAGTCATATTATCATAAAATGTAAGAAACAATAATTCTAAATGATTATAATTGTTTTGTTTATCAGAAAACATGGATGTTAACAATGATAAGAAATGGTACTGTGAATCATGTCCTCAATTTTTTACATCGGTCGAAAACTTAAAAGAACACGAGGCAGTACATGATGCCGATAAGCCATTCATCTGCATTTTATGCAAAAAAGATTTTGTTCTTAAGTCTTCCTTGAGTAGACATATCCAAACGTTACATGGTGTTGATCCATGTCCTATTGTAGAAAGTGATAAATGTTTAAAGAAGATTTTCTCACGACATTGGAATGAATCGATGGATATTGATTATGAACAAAAAACTAATGAGTTTCCATTATCTCCGGAAACGAATGTTGAAAACGAAGAAGATGATCATGAGAGTGGACAAGAGAATCTTATTGAAATTGAAACCGTATTTGTTTGTGAAATTTGTACTCGTGATTTTAATGATCGTGCTTCTCTTTGGCTTCACATTCGAGCCACTCATAAGGAGTTCGCAGCATTTGCATGTGGCGTTTGTTTGAAAATTTGTGCAGACAACGCACAACTTCTAAATCATGTAAATATGTACCATGGCGGATCAAAATTGTTACTCTCTGAACAAAGGAGGTACAGTTGCACAATTTGCGGCAGACAACATGACTCTAGGAAGAAATTAATTGCACACGTGTCCATACATAATATTGATCCAAATTATGATCCAGCAACTTTCGTACAATTGAACAGTAATTATTATGGCGAAAATATTAATGGAAATGAAACTACAGAAACAATGCTTGATTACGAAGAGGAAGGGGACAAAGTAGACTGTTACATTTGTTATAAGTCATTTCCAAACGAAGATCATTTAATACGGCATCAAAGAAATGCACACAGATCTGAACAACCGATTCCAACAGGAGACTCCATGAATCAGTCCAATTTAAATGGAGGTGGAAATAGAGCCCAATATCACTTGTTCTTTGTTTGCGAACTTTGTGGCAGTTCACACCCTAGTAAATGGGAACGTTGGTTACATGTCAGCTCTGCTCATGCCAACGAACAAGCCATAAAATGCGATCGTGATGATTGTGGTAAAATTTTTGCAACGAAATCTCTTAGAAACGATCACATTCAACATCATATAATTCAAGGTCCCTCTCCAAATACTTGTGAAATCTGCGGCAAACTTTGGGGTAGTAGAGTAGATTATTGGAAGCATGTTATGGGCGTTCATTCAGATACTGTCCCATTGATTTGTGGTGTTTGCCTGAAAGTTTTCCCGAATGTATTACAATTAAGTAATCATGTCAAATCGAAACATTGGCCATTAACAAATGGTGATTTTAGTTGTGATATATGCGGAAGACCGTATTCGAACAAATCTAAAATGTCCAGGCATAGAAAAATCCATGGTTTTGAAGAAACCTGCGATAATGGAGTTGAAGGCAATGAAAGCAAACCAGATGGGCGAATTAGAGAAACAGAATTAAGTTGTGAACATTGTACAGACTTAAAGTTTGCTAGTTTAGAGAAGTTGTGTAATCACAGACGAATCATTCATGGCCTTTTTCCTTGCGATCTCTGTAATAAATGTTACGGAAGAACCTCACACCTATGGAAACATGTAAATAGAGTCCATAAAGGTCATGAGGATGTTACATGCCCATATTGCTTGAAAACTAGTGCATCAAAAGATCATTTGGCAACACATATTTCTAAAATTCATAGGTACGAACCTGACTCTAGAAAAGACGGAAAAGACACTAGGCAATTTAAAACGGATGAAGTTAGTTTACATTATTGTGAGAAATGTAATAAAGGATTTCATAAGCGGTATCTGTTACGTAGACATATGAAAGGATGTCAGAATTATAGGAAGGATCCTGGTGCGTTGCTTACTCGTTGCAGAGCTTGCGAAAGAATTTTTAAAGATCGTGCTAGTTTACAAAAGCATATAGAAAATCATCATAGTACATACACTTGTCATCTTTGTAACGAAACTATCACTTCGAAATTAGGAATTATGACGCATAATAGAGTGAAACATATGGATCACCCGGATTTGACTTGTAATTTTGGAGCTTGTAAAAAGTTGTTTAGGACAAAGGAAGATTTAGAATCGCATAAAAAAGACCACAGATATCATACAAATCCTAACGTTTGTGATTTCTGCGGCGACACTGTTGAGAATAAATTGAAATTGAAGATGCACGTGCTGTCTCTGCATCGTAATGAAATTGGCGTATCTTGTGGGGTATGTTTAATTCCAATGAAAGATCCGAAAGAACTTAAGGGTCATGTAGAAGAAGTTCACGCTAGTGTTCTTTCAAAACCTAATACTTGTCAAGTATGCGGTAAACAATATGCTTCAAAATGGAAAGCTTTCGACCATACTAAAAAATGTCATGGCAAAGTATTCCGGACCTGTAAACAATGTTTAGCTGTTTTTACAGAAGATTCTGCCATCAGAGATCATTATGAAACGATACATAATGTTCCAAAAGATCAACTTGCAGCATTTGAGTATAGGTTGGATATTGGATCAAAACATGATGATTTTGAAATGGAGGTAAATTAATATTAAGTTATAAATACAACTGAGTAAATGTATAACTAAATGAATGAATAAAAATTTGTTGTTCATTTTGTAGTCTCCTGACGTTGTCGTCAAAGAAGAACCAGATGATTTGGAGTACGATGTAGATCTATGCGACGAGGACTCCAGCGATTCAAAAAGGAGAAGATCATTGACTGATACATTCGATTGTGAAATGTGTCCTGAGATGTTTGCAAATAGCGATGCCCTTTCAAAACACTATCGTAATATGCATAATACAGATCCAGAAAGAATGTTTAAGAGACTGAAGCAAGAAGAACAGAGAAGAATGCGTGGAAAACTAAGTTTTGTTTGTAAGAACTGTAAAAGACAATTTTGTACAAAAACATTGTATTGGAATCATATTGCAACCTGTAGAAGAAATACTTTACGAAAAGAGGTAAAATTTCCTTTATTTCTTAAGTTATATTGGAATAGTTCTAGATATTTATATTAATATATGGATTTCTTTATATAGGAAGAACTTGCGTCTTTGCAGAATAATATGTTAGATAATCAAGAGAGTGTGCTGGATAATCGAGAAGAAATTTTGAAAAATAACAATCAAATAAAAAAAGAAGAAAGTACGTCAAATTTGAATATCCCTGACTTCAATCTATTTGAGGACATAAATCTTCAGTTATCAGGTCAAAGACCTCTTCCAAATTTAATGCCATTATCTCAGAGGTAAATATTATATAATAAAATATGGATTATATTATTATACTTTCCTCCTTTTTCCTATTGATATTGTATTTAACCAATCAATGTAAAATTTCAGAGTGAAAGCATCAATAAAATGTTCAAGAAAGGATTCTAGGAAAGTGTATGATGAATCAACGAATACAGAATGTGCTTGCGAAGTCTGCGGAAAACAATGGCCGGCAAAGAAACATTTATGGCAACATTTAATTCGCTTTCATCGAGCCGAAGCTGCGGTCACTTGTGGAGTATGTCTGAAACTCTGCAAGGATTATGATAATTTAGCAGAACATTTGAAAGCCACACATGCTGCAATTCTTTCTTGTGAAGGAAACAATTTCACGTGCAAAACTTGTGGCAGGTACTGATACGGTGAAAGTAATTTTAATTATTTTTGTTTATCAAGAATTTATTATAATCTTTTTGTTGTGACAGGTATCATAATGCACGTAGCAAGCTGTTATTACATACAAGTATTCATATTGGCCATGCAAGTAATGGCACTACATGTCCGAGATGTTATAAGAATATTACTGACGAAACTGATCATTCTAATACATGTACTGGGAAAACGGAAGAACAACACTTGAAGACTGAGGAAAAACCAGAAGTATGTGTTTAGATCTTGCAATATACTAGCTTGCAACAATGCGAATATTCTAACTTAACATAGATTCCAAAAATACATGATGCATTAATAATGGTAATTAACTTTTCATAAAAAAGGGAAGCCTGATAGCGGATGATGCGATAATAGAAGAGGTGGAAGAAGGGGAATTTGAGTCTGAGGCAGAAGAGGCAGATTCAGCAGAATCGGATAGTGGTAGTAGTACAGAGGTGGAAGAAGAGAATGATTCTGAAGGAGAATCCAGGGCTACAGAAGAAATTACATACAACTCAGATACTGATGATGATTCCGAAGAATTGGCTTTGGAAGGCCTCCAGGAATCCAAAGATACAGGTGATGAAGTGAACAATTTATGATCACGTTTTAATGCTTATAACAAAACCTAAATGTGGACGTTTAAAATTTTCAGAAGCAGGAAAAAATGACGTTGATTTGTCAGATGACGATGGTCCGCCTGTACTTAGTCCTATAATGCCTCTACTAAGTGGAAATATGTCTGGGGAACAATCGATAAGTCGCAAACTTGGTTCAAGAACAACGCCAACGGGAAAAGAAATGGAAATTTGTAATTTAGCAGAAATTCAAAATCAATCTGCCTCCAAATCAGTGAATTTCTATGGAAAGGATTTGTGTAACAATGAATCATTAGATTGTGAGTCCGAAACGTTTATAAATCGTAGCGACGAAGAATATGAAGGTGCGAAAAATGGATACGATGAAAATTCTATGGAAGAAAACGAGGACGATAATGAAGAGACTATAGACAATGACGAAGCAGTAGACAATGAAGAGCATGAAGGAAACGAAGAAGTCGAGCAGGACGAAGATAACGCGGAAAATAATGAGGTAGAGATGAACGAAAATAGTGAAGGAAACGAATTGTATGAAGAAATTGAAGAGAATGAATCAAATGAAGAAATTGAAGATAACGAAGAGAATGATGAACATGAAGAGAATTATGAGAATGAAGAAAATGAGGAGAGCGAGGAAAATGAGGAAAACGAGGAGAATGAAGAAAACGAGGAAAAAATAGAAGGCATGCAATTGGATGATTTAGAAAATGCTGTACTAATGGTGACCGAAGGAAATGAAATATTGATACAACAAGATATATTAGAGGATGGAATTGAGAACGTAAATCAAGCATATGTTTATTCTACGCTTGCTTATAGTACGGACGAAGACAGTGATGATGCAGGGAAGTGAGTGCCAAATTGTGAATAAGGATTTTGAGAAAATGCAAGGTGAGACAGTTGTTATATTGTTTTTCAGGATTGGAGGATACGTGGAAATGCGTTTTGAAAGTTATAAGGTAGTTAAGAATTAAATTCCAAAAATTAAGTTTTGAAAAAACGTTTTCATAGTACCGAAGATATACGAAAAGATACGAAATATTTTGTTCAAATAAAATCGTAATTAGTATAACATTTTAGATATTTAAACTATTTGAAATCCACGTGTTTAATATATAGTATAATTCGCAAGCTTATATATAATTTTATACGAATATTCGTTTCTCTATTACAAACATGGATTTAGAATTAATATCTCTGAAAACACACAAACCCACGTATTCTTATAATTCATTAAAATTAATCGGAATTTGTATTGATTTGTTCTGTATAGAAAAAAAAGAGATGTACTGTTACGTGATATGTACCTTGAAATTTATGGAAATTCACACCGATGTTGCGATAACGTGTAAATATATGTGAAGTTTAATAGTAGGAATATTATAGGAATACCTAGGACTATTAACGGGAGTTTAATATAAGGTAAGACGTGGGATTACATTAAAAATTCGTGCATGAACATACAGGTATTGGAAAAAAGGATCGAGATAGAGTAAAATTGACCAAAGTCAATGTGATGTAATAAAAGAACAAACCCCCCCAAACTCCTAATGAATTTATTTAAGTTTTTACCAATTCCGATCTCACGAGTGCAGATCGAATTCGTCCTCAAGCTGTTTGAGATTATATTCGATCGAAATCGATATTTGATTTTCCAAATTTTTTCTTATAAATTTTTCCAAGCGCAAATAGTACAAATATAGCAATATACAGAATTATCGTAATATTAGGTGAATAATGAACGCTATAATACTACAGTTTCATAATTTCTACTAAATTATAAGCGAATCCTTTTGTATCCATAAATAGTATTGAACGTTCGTTTCAAGTATACATATAATACTGTATTCGTTATCTGTTATACATATCTATGTTGATGCTCTGTTATTATTATTCATAATAATATATTTTTTATTATTTCGGTATTATATTAATATCGATTCGATTGAATCTGCCGCAAGAAATTTCAATACCGGAGGATCAAGAAACAGAGACAATTTAGTGTATATAGTAGTCGTGTAAGTAACATCGTGTACAGCTACATTATACTATACGAAACAAAACAAAAAAATATTTGTATGCGTGTATGAGGAAAGCATGATTACTGGTGTGACAGAAAGGAAAGGCCACCTTCTATTACTTTTTTAACGTTGTACGTTTAAAAACGATCAAGGAGAAACTGAAGATCACTTCTATTTTAACAATAAAAGTATCGAATAACCGTGCGTCGTAAAATAAACTAATTTATTTCTGATATATTGAACATTTTTATTCGTTGCATGGAATTCAGTTTCTCTGCAGATGTCGTTCCCACTGTATTTCATCAACCTTGATACATTTGCATAGTTTAGCATAGGGAGTGACATTTTCTTTTCTTGCACATTTATTATGTTGGAATCTATTTTCACTATCCTAACAACGTTAACGATTGTCTGTTAGAAAATCAAAAAAATAGCCAAGTATGTATAATTTCATATCCTATTGGATTAGCTATATGCATGGTTATTTCTGCTAACTTCCGTTCGATTCTTTTCCTCTTGTTTCGTTTATTATTTATTGGAGCATACGCTTCCTTTCCGATGCGTTTAGTATATAAGACACACGAAAACGGCGATTCGCATTTAACGTTTGTAATAATTAAAATAAAAATTACTATAAGTTGATTAATTTATTATTTTCATTTCAATCCTATTATTTAAAAACTTTATAACTATTCTTAACTCGAAAATATTTTTAAGTAAGAAAGAACATGAATGTTAGCAACAATTTTTTCGTATTCTTCCGAAACCTAAAACCGTGTCTAAAAAAAAATTGAAACCGTAATTACATGAAAAAGTAAAGATCTTAGAAAATCTGAATAAAAGTTTAGTTAGCATTCTAAGTTTTTTCGAACAGTGATTAAACATAATTGAAAAATGATGAAACGAACTGTATTGAAAGTATATTTACTTTATAATTACTACTACTCTTATTTTAAGCTTATGACGATGTCGTTATTATCCAACCAAATTAAGATTTAAATAAAATATTCTTTTACAAAAATACAAAGTTTTATAAATTATGTGCGATACAAGGACACTGACACTTATTCTTTTGTTGAAAATATTATCGCTATCATTTTGTACAGTAATACAAATATAACCGAAATCACGTTGAAAATATAAGCTATATATAATTATCATATATATAGTTTCCATATGTTTTTCGCGTGCACTAACTTTCATTAATGTCTCTGCTTGCAATTGAAGTTCAAATACAACGATCTAATTCTGTTTCCGAATAAAATCGAATAATTTGAAAAAAGGAGCAGGCAATGATAAGAATATGTTTTTGTAAATATTTATATTGATGAAAAAAATTGAAGTTCATTCGTTTGATTTTATTTGAAATTGGAATAAAACGAGACTGTAGAAAGTAGACACACAAAGAGTAAACATTTCTTTCCTTTGTAAACTGTAATACTACACAACGTCTTTGCGTCCTTCCTTCGGACGTGCTTGCTCTTAAACGGTAGGTTCCAGGAGGACGATTAAGATGTAGTGGCAGGCGTTAAGCCGACATCAGGCCATGGTTAATTGCTTTTTCAAAAAGTCACCGGTGCGTGACTGGGAACCCTCCGTAGACCTGCCTTTCAAGAATCCGAACAATTGTGGAAGACTCTCTCGGTCTCTAAGAATTCTGCAGCAGGAATTTATGTAATATTCTCCAATGCACAAACGGCATAACAATTCTTCTAATTTGTTTAAAATACATACATTATTATAATTTGTAGTGCTGTAACGTGTGTTATAATACATATAGAAATATATCACACTTTTTTTAGATCTAAATGCGTGATCTTCAATTTTTTATCTGAAAGAAGTAACCCACAACGTAATGTGGGTTACTAATAATAATATAATAATAATAATATTATTATAATAATATAATAATAATAATATTATTATAATAATATAATAATAATAATAATAT